GATAATGAATTTAGTTCCAGTAAAATGAAGTAAGGTATAATCATTAATCAACACAAAACATAGGAAATATATATTTTAAGGGAAGAAAGAAAAGAAATGAGAAGTTATAGAAAAAAAGGGAGGAAAATAGTGTAGCTTGGGTGAAAATTGAAAATCGTTAGAGAGCTAATGATAAACAGTGTGAGGGATGATGAGACAGAAGGAAAGCCATAAGAAAGTAGCACTGAATTTCTGCTTCATGTTATTGGGCACAGCTGGTTTACATAATATCTCATTCATTTGAATACTGATGAGCAAGCATAAGTGAAAACATGAACACCTCAAGAATTTTAATTTAAGATTGTAATTTTTACAATAAATAGTTATTTTTACTTAAAAGGTTGCAATTAAAAAATGAAAAAAAAACTCTTTGGGACAGGGGCAAGAGACCCCCCCAAAAAAATCAACATCAAATTGTTGCCATAGAAGGGAGTTATAAATTTCCAGAATGGCTAAAGAGTAAAGATGAATTCTAGAAATAAAAGGAAAACACAGAGAAGACAGCCAAAAAAATTGCATGTAAAAACTCTACCCAATAACTTAGCTTACTTTTACACTATGTATGGGCAGGATATATTTCAGGCGATCTAGCACAAAAGCAACATTAGGAAGGCTAAAAATAAAAATTTTTTAATGCAGAACTTATCCGATATCCACTACTATGAGACAGACTTTGAAGTTTCATTCAAATAAATAAATAAATAAACTGTTATGAGAAGAATAATAAATTTGCTTCAGAAAAAGATAATAGACAATAAACAAATCTCAATTTATCAACCACAATATCTACTATCAAACAAAAATAATTTTACTAGAAATAGTAAAGAGAAAAAACAATCAATAGAAACCAACTACAAGATGACAGGTGTTACAATTAGCAAAGATTTTAAGGCAGGCATTAAAAAAATGTTAAAATCTGAAAGGAATTTTTTTCTTTTCAACCTTAAACGAAAAGGAAAATGAGGAATAAAGAGATGGGGGAATACCAGCAGAGAAATAAAAATGGTAAAAAGAAACCATATTAAAATTCTAGAAATAAAAATGTCAGTGTCTAAAATTAAAATTTCACTGATGGACTTGACAGCATATCGCATGCAAGCGAAAAGAAAAAAGCTAATGAAAAATAATAAAGTTGGTACAGTCTCAGTGAACAGCATCAGCCAGTCCAATATAGAAGAGAGAGATATGCCAAGAAACTCTGGGTGGACAAGAAGAGCAGCAAATTGCATTGCTTTAAAAGTCTGACTTTAAGGACAAACCTAATTAAAATGAGCAGTAGCGTGGCATTTGAAGGTAGGGTAGAAGATCTCACTGCACAGAACAGAAAAGAGAGAGCAGGTCAGAATGTTTTTTTGAGCCACCTGGGCTGATAGATATGTTTCCAGAGAAGTGGACAAAATCAGCTACTTCTAAAAGGCATCAGGGTTTTCTCTCAGTGGCTTCTTTCCCAGGAAGGAGCTGATCCAGACAAACACACGGATGTCTTTGTCTTCTTTACTCTACCATGAACCACCTCCCCTTCAGAGTCTTTGTTTCTCATTCTATAATTTATTCCTTATTGGTGAATTACCCAGTCTTCTTTCTAATGCCTGTCTGTACAAAGTGAGACCTGGGATAGACATTGTACTAGAAACTAATGCTGAACTTTGAAGGCCACATTAGTTTCTCTGAGTACAAAACCAAGGGCTGGAATCAAAAACAAAGTATGTTCACCGCGTAGGACCTGAGGGCATACCTAGGGGACCTGGGCAGCCTGGGGTACCCGGGGCAGAAGTGAGCACAAAATATAATATTATTCCCTTTTAATTTATCTCTGCCTCAGTCTTCTGAGTTCAGAAAATAATTGTTGTCTATGTTATATAATACCCCATGATAAGTGTTGACCTTTTGCTATTTCTTTGAATTAAAAAACATGTATAAATCTGTAACACTGAGCACAATGGAATTTTATTTAATTAATTTATTTATTTTAAGATTTTATTTAATCATTTTCAGAGGAGAAAGGAGGGAGAGAGAGAGGGAGAGAAACATCAATGTGTGGTTGCCTCTCACCTGCTCTCTACTGGGGACCTGGCCTGCATCTTAGGCATGCACCCTGACTGGGAATCGAATCAATGACTCCTTGCTTCGCAGGCTGGCACACAATCCACTGAGCCATACCAGCCAGGGCTGGACTTTTTAGCAATGCTGAGAAGGCATGCCTGGTTCTTCTGAGAAAGTAATTCTAATAAAATTGTTCCCTGTGCAATTCTATTTTCTTACAAAGAGAATTCCTGAGTCTTTACAAATTATAGCGACATACAGTTGTTTGCTTTCAGAGTGGATCCTGACCCTAATCTTCTGTATAAAATATTTTCCTGAATAAGTTTAATGCCACGGAAGACATAGCACAGTAGCCCTCAAACATCACAGAACCAGTATGATGATGTGTGGGTGTTGGAGGTGCATTAGCCTCAGGCACCCTAGATGAGCAAGTTGAAGAGTTGCTAGTTTTAAAGGGGTAGGAGTTTTCTGAAGTAAAGAAGAGTGAAAAAATTTCTTAAAAGAGGGGAATAATAGGGCATTAGAATAAAAGAGGGGATGTGTGACTCTGTTACATGTGCAGCTTTTTGTGGCCACCTGGAGAGAGCCACCTGGCTCTCATCTCCAGACGCCCCAATTGCTTTGGGGGCCACTGCTGAAGACTCCCGAGGTGTGGACTAAGCCCGGCAGCTAGTCCACCTGCTCCCTGGGAGAGCCCAGAGTTCTATTTGGAGTAACCGGAAAGTTCCCATTTCATGTTAATACTTCTTAGTCTAAAAATATAAAGACATGGAAGTAAAACTTCTATTTGGGAAAGTAGTTTGAACAACACATATTATTGAAATGTGCAAGACTCTACTCATTCTCAAAATGAACAATGTAGACTATTGTTTTCATTTCTCAGCTGACAAGTACAAGAACCCTACTGTGCCATAGAAGAACAAGCACCGTGGGGTCAGAGGGATTTGGGCTTAAAGTTGAATGCGCCACTGAAGAGTTGCATGGACTCAGTCAGCTGCATGTTTTCTAAGCTGCAGTTCCCTGGTCTGAAAAATGACACTGTTGTCTGTGTGCCTTGCAGTGTTTTGAGTTTATATAAGGTGGTGTGTGTGGAGGTGTCTAACATTTTTCCCAGCAAACATTAAGCATCACGTATGCTAGATAGTCTCTACCTTGATTCGCCCATTAACCCAAAGTAGGAGGACACTAGTGTCTGAACCGTGGTTTCCTTTGTTTTGCATGTCATCCTCTAAGAGTCTAATGCTAGTTCTTTCTCAGAAAGGGTTTCTGCATAAAGGAAGTGACTAGGAAGAGGAATCGAGGCGTTCTAGCCTCACAGAGTGGACCACATTTCCTCCTGTACAATAAAGTGAAGCAGAAAACAAAAGTAGTTTTATGATATTGTCAGCCAGATTTCTAATATGTGAAGGACAGCGAGATTTCATTTTACTTTGATTCATTTACATGGCTATACAGCTTGAAATAACCAGCTAATAGCCTGTATCTGTGCCTGTGTATACAGCGCTCACATAAAATACTGAAAGCAAACTGGTTGAAGGTAGATTGAAATTAGAAAACTGTTCTAACTTACTGGTATTACTGACAGAACATTATAAATTCCTCGTTATAGATTTAAAGTCTTCTCTGATTTTCCCATTTCCAGTTTTTTTAATTCAAAATTGGATCATATTTTATGCTTACCGGGTGTTTTCTCAATAAATACAGGCTTTCATATTGGTTTCTTATTTTATTCCTTCACATCTGGTTGGTTATGTCCCCAATTAAATTGCATTCCGATTTTTCTTACAATGGTGATAATAATACAACTTTTTCAGATCAAAGAAAGTGTCCCCAAGGAGCTGTTTCTCTCACATCCTGGCCAAAATCCTGGCTAAAGTGTAGCTCGTTTTCAACAGTCAATAATGATTTGTTTCTACTATATTTTACTCATAAGGCCTAAAGCTCATTTTTTTAAAGGAGAAGAAAAAGATATCCCTGATGTTAAAAATGTTCTACCAAATCTTCACTCTATGAAATGTTAAAAGGACTTAAGAAAAAGAATATCAAAACTATGAACAGTAAAATGACAACAAACACAATTGTCAACAACTGAATCTAAAAAAAAAACAACTAAGCAAACAACTAGAACAAGAACAGAATCATAGAAATGGAGATCACATGTAGGATTATAAGTGGGGAGGGGGGAGGGAGAATGGGAGAAAAGGTACAGGGAATAAGAAGCATAATTGGTAGGTGCAAAATAGACAGGAGAGATTAAGAATAGTATAGGAAATGGAAAAGCCAAAGAACTTATTTGTACAACCCATGGAAATGAACTAAGGGGCGGGGGAATGATGGAGGTGGAGGGCAGCAAAAGGAGAAAAATAGGACAACTCTAGTAGCATAATCAATAAAATATACTTTTAAAATAATGTTCTATATTGAGAGATTGGCCCCCAAAATCACTTCCAAGCAGCATTTCTTTAACATAGTCATTAAATAAGCACAAAAACACCTCCTGTGCACACAGGCCTTTTGCTTGACACTATGGCATAGGAGTTTGGACCACATGGTGATGGGGTTTTTGGCATAGTTGAATTTTTTGTGTTTGTTGTTTATTTTTAAGAAACACAAGAGAAATTCTACACCCACGTGAATATTTTCCCTCTTAATCAGTCTTTACTTCAGAAGTCTCTATATGTTTTCCAACCCCCCACTTTTTTTTTTTTAATTTGGAAGTAGGGAACTCTCAATAATTACTTGGTGCCAAGCAGAGAGATACTGAGTTTTAGATCTGTAAGGGAACATAGAAGTGATGTTGGTAAAACACCTGCTTATGTTGTATAAATATTACATTTGGGCAGAAATTCAAATGAGCATGAGCAGTATAAGAGAGGGAAGGGATAAGGTCAAGAGGGCTGATTAAAAAGAGTGGCCTCTTACTTACCTGGCAGGGGAGGTACCACGATCAGGAAGGCGGTTCTCCCAGGATAAGGCTCTCCCTTTGCACTCTGGGTGTGCTGCCTCCTGTGACTTCCCCGAATATGGGAAACTCAGCTGCATAATTTGTGGTAGTGGGGACTGCATTCATGCTCTCTTCTGGGAAAAAAAAAAGAGAGGCCTTGCTGGGCTTTGAAACTTGGCTGAGATTAAGGAGTCAGTCAACAGAGGCTAAGTGAGCAGGACTTTGTAATTGGGTCTGAGAGTAGCCAAAGCACATGGAAGAAGCTGAAGAATGAGGAAACGTGGAGACCCTCATGACAAATACTTTTTTGGAGGGTTTGTTCATATTATTCATCTCTGCATAGCACCCTGAAAGCACATGCAGGTCCAAATCCAAATCTAGCAAATGTTAGAATTAGCAGCCAACTAGAAACAGGAAGAAGAAACAAATGACCTTGTAGCTGCTTCAGTGGGTAGGTTGAGAAAACAGGAGTGGTCTGTGTAGGTAGTGTTTCACCAACTAAACAGGGTCCCTTACCTCTCCCTTGGTTTTTATCATATCTGTGATGATTAATTATGTCTCAACTAGGCTATGGGCACGATTGTGTTCGGTCAGACACCAATTGAGATATGCCTATGAGGTAGTTTTTAGGTGTGTTAACAATTAAATCAGTAGACTTTGAATACAGCAGATTATCCTTCATGATACTGGGGAGAAGGTGTGCCAAAAAAACCCCTGGAATTATCTTCTGGAGGGCAGGCCCTTTGTAGGACAGGCTTCCCCTGCTGGTTGAATGATGCAGGAACTCATCTGTATCAGTGTACCAGCTGACATTTTTGTGAGAGGATGCCTCAGGCTTCGGTGAGTTTTTTTGAAGACTTTCACTGCACTTGCCCATTTCATGATGGGTGGTTTAGGAGCACACCTGCCCACACCACACAGATTGTTCTGCAGTTTTTGACCAAAAAATGGCATGACCCCCGTGCCCCACTTTTTTTATTCACTCCATCTCACCTTGAGTGACATTTTTTGTTTCCCTGCGTGGAAAAAACATCCTCAAAAGGAAACATTTTGCCAATGAGGAAGAGGTGAACAAAAAATGGCAGAAGCACTAAAAACCACTGATATGGACAAGTTCAAAAACTGTTTTGAGCAGTGGAAAAAAATGTCTCAATAGGTGTATCACGTCAAATTGAGAGTATTTTGAAGGTGAGGTGACTGAAGTTCAAACATATAAGAATAAATACACAATTTTTGATAAATACATTCCAGGGTTTTTTTGTCCCCCCTCATATGGGTGGGCTTCATCCAAAGAGTTGAGGGCCTTAAAGCAAAGACTGCAGATGCCTTGAGAGGACAGAATTCTGTCTGCAGAACACCTTTGGACTCAAAAGCAGCTCTTGCTGGAATTTCCACTTTGGAGCCTGCCATTTAGATTTTGAACTTGCCAGCACCCTTAATTACATAAGCCAATTCCTTAATATAAATCTCTCTCTCTTCTCTCTATTACACACACATGTATATACACATACAAATACATGTATGATCAATTACACATATGTATATTCATGCACATATATACATATGTGTGTAAAAGACACAATATCCCAGTAGTTGAAAAACACCAAGATATACATATACAGAAGAGGAATGGGAGATTACTGTTATTGAAGTATGGGGTTTCTTTTTTTTCAGACAAAATAGACTTTTAAAAAATTTATATTTTATTTTTATGCCATTATAGTTGTCCTGATTTTTCCCTCTTTTCCCTGCCTCCACCCAGCACCTACCACTCCCTCAGGCAATTCTCCCCACCATTGTTCATGTCCACGGGTCAGCCTATAAATTCTTTGGCTACTTGGCTAATCTATAACAATCTGTTTGTACTCCTTAATCCCTTTACGTCTTCATCCATTTCCCCCACACCTCCTTCCATCTTAAACCATCAAAACACTTTCTGTATCCATGACTCCATCTTTGTTCTTTTTTTCCTTAGTTTTTTTTTTTTTAGAGCCAATTGTTGATAGATTTGTACTTTTTACTATTTTATTGCTCATAGTTTTTATCTTCTTTCTCTTAATAAGTCCCTTTAACATTTCATATAATAATGATTTGGTGATGATGAACTCCTTTAGTTTTTCTTGTCTGGGAATCACTTCATCTGCCCTTTGACTCTAAATGATAGTTTTGCTTGGTAGAGCAATCTTGTATGTAGGTACCTGCTTTTCAGGAGTTCAAATACTTCCTGCCAATCTCTTCTAGCCTGCAAAGGTCCTTTTGAAAAATCAGCTAATAGTCTTATGGGAACTCCCCTGTAGGTAAGTAACTTCTTTTCTCTTGCTGCTTTTAAGATTCTCTCTTTATCTTTAACCTTTGGCTTTTTAATTATGATGTGTCTTGGAGTGGGCCTGTTTGTATCCATCTTGTTTGGGACTCTGTGCTTCCTGGACCTGCATGTCTATTTCCTTCACCGAGTTAGGGAAGTTGTTTTCACTATTTTTTCAAATAGGTTTCCAATTTCTTGCTCTTTCTCTTCTTCTTCTGGCACCCCTATGATGCAAATGTTGGACCTCTTGAAGTCATTCCAGAGGCTGCTTATAGTCTTCTCATTTGGGGGGATTCTTTTTTCTTATTATTGTTCTGATTGGTTGCTTTTTGCTTCCTTATGTTCCAAATCTTTGATTTGATTCTCAGCTTCATCCACTCTACTGTTGTATGCCTGTAAATTGTTCATTATTTCCATTAGTATATCTTTCATTTCTCAGCAGATTTTTAATGCTGTTGAGGTACTAAGTAGGTTCCTTGAGCATTCTTATAACCAGTATCTTGAACTCTGCATCTGATAGATTGTTTATCTCCATTTCATTTAATACTTTTCCCGGCATTTTGATCTGTTCTTTCATTTGGGCCATGTTTCTTTGTCTCCTTGTTTCAGCAGTCTCGTTGTATTAGTTTCTATGTATCAGGTATAGCAGCTTGAATGGAAGTCTGACAACTGTGGAATTAAAGAAACCACCCCATCCAGACTGGTAGGAGGGGTGCAGATACAGAGTGGGCTGATCCCTCACTCATGTGTGGTGGATAAAAATTTGGGGGGGTGTCTTTGGAGTAAGGAGTCCCAGCCCCACACCATGCCCCCATCCCAGAATACCAGTGCCAGGAAGATAAGTTCCCACAACTTCTGGCTGCAAAAGCCATCAGGGATTTTGTCAGTGGAAGAAACTTCTGTATCCCCAAGCAGTTCCTCTTAAAGAACCCACACACAGACTCACCTACTCAGACTCAGTTCCTCTGAGCTCTAGCACAGGGGTAGCAGCTTGAAAGACACTGGTGGTACAGAAGGAGAAACGAAAGTGTCTGGGCATCAAGGCTAGCAGAGACCATTGTTCCTGTTCTAAACCCTCTCCCCACAGGGCCAGCAAGCTGATGCCTTACCTGAGACTCCATCAGTCTGGCTAACACTGTTTTACCGGACTTGGAGATCTCCATAGATGCTACCCCACCCAATTTACAGGCCCACCCAAGCTGCTTTTCTATATGAATGGCTGTTCTTGGCTCAGCCTATACAACTTCCTAAATCTATCAGACAAACAACAGCTTGCCTCAGTGAGCCCTAGACCCAGCATGAGCAGCAGCCAACCTAGATTCACAGCTCGGCTTCACCTGGGAGTCTTCAAGCCCAGCACAAGTAGCAGCCATCTCAGATTGCTTTATAGCTCAGGCATTGTGGCCCTGGGCAAAACATAGGTGGGAGCTGGACGTTGGCATGTACCACCTGGGAAACCCCAGGGCTAGCCCACCCAGTGGACAGCTATAGACATCAGAGCACCACCACCATGCTGATGCACAGCTGGTACTCCACAGAGGGTGGAGGTTGGTGGTCAGTGGTCATAGCCAGTCCTTGCAGTTGATTGGCCTGGATAAATCCCTCCCATTGACCTGCCGACAGCAACCAAGGCTCAACTGCAAAAAGAGGGTATACTCAGCCTCTACAAAGTGTGCACCTGAAGTAACTAGCACAGGTGAAAGGGGAAGCTGTGCCATTGGACCTTACAGGACACCTACTATATTAGGCCACACTATGAAGTATGGGGTTCCTTAATTTGGTAATAAAACTTTCCTGAAATTAGATAATGCTTATGGTTAGACTAGCTGGTAATATACTAAAAACTACTGAATTGGACACTTTAAAAGAAAACTTCTATGGTATGTTAATTAATCTTAATTGATTTTTTAAGTAGGGAGATAAAAGATATAGGATATGTCCACAAATATGCCATTCTCTGCTAGCTCCCTTACTTCATCATCTGGAAAGGATTGCCTCTGCTTCTCTGGCACTGTGGTAGCCCAGATGCCACATGTCACACCCACCCAGCAGTCACTAAGTCCTACTAATATCACAGGAGCCCATTTGGAGCCCCTTCTATAGAAGTGGAAATTGAGGAAGTCAGCTTTTATCCCTTTTTCAATAGAGGGAGATACTCTAGCATTTTGCAGGCTTGCAGAGAGTCACTCCAACCTCTCTACTCAAGCGACACCCTAATTTTCTGCTGGCCTCCTTGCCCAGCCTGGAGATCCCCCTATAGGTATCCTCAAATCTGTCCCTATTGATGAGGACACGGTGATTAACTCCACTCTCAACCCACTCTAGAGGCATCAGTAGTGCCCAGTATAAAAATGACCCAATTTATGGGGGCCTCCTTGGCCCCCAGAGCACCCACTAGCATTGGCATCCCCATGGAGAGAGATATTGCTGGCTCTGGTATAGTTACCAGAGCCACTTCCATGAGAGGTGAGGGGGTTGGGAGCAGTGCCATCCTGAGATGGAAGCTGCTGGTGGGTCTGGGTCTATGGTCGCATCCTTTACAGAGGGTGCACATACTATGGAGAGTGTAGAGTCTGGACCATTGAAAGCCAGTTCTTGGGACTGGTGGACTCTTTCACCTTCTAAGGGGGTCTGTTATGAGCTGGTCCCCTGGCTGAAGAAGAGATGGAGACAAATGTCACCTGGCAACTACCCTAGAACAACTACCCTACACTAGCTTCCTCTGTGGACCTGCAGACCCTGCAGTTCACCTGTTTTTTCACTGAGCACCCCTCTTACTGAAGTGCAAAGCCTGCCCTTTGGAGCCAACATCTTCAGCAAGGGACACCCCA